AGTTTGTTTCTTCATGCAGCAATGCTGCAAGGTTCCTACTTAGGCATTGCCACATTTAATGCCTCCTTCAAGCTGATACAGCCAACTGTCTCCTTTTTTTTTTTTTTTTTTTTTTTTTTTTTTTGAGAGAGAGAGAGAAGGTTGAGATATCTTTTTTTTCACACCATATAACAATATTCTTCATATAGATCAGATCATCTTCACACTGCCCCTTGATGGCTAAATACAAATACCTCTTCATTAGCTTGACCACATTCTGAAGGAGGGAAGTTTAAAAGGGAAGCTTTAGTTGAAGTTGCCGTGAACCAAAGCACGCACTCACAGCCAATTTCGATACAAAGCCAGCAGTTTTAAAGCTACTGAGATGGGAACCATCCAACCTTTATTCAGCCCCACACTAGTCTGTAGAGTATACAATATGGCTTATAAATTAGGTCCCATGGCCACTGTTGTACAGCAGTAGTTATAAAAATTATTGCAGTTTTGTTCATTGGTCACTGCTGCTGCCATGGAATTGCTGCAGTAGCTTTGATTACTTGGAATAGTATTTGCGGACATTTTAATGGCATTGCTCTATTAATATATCATCTCACTTTAAAAATAGCTGGCCAAGTCTTAATCTGGTATAAATCAGCACAGTTCTCGGTTAGTGGAGCTAAGGCAGTTTTTATCTGCAGAGCACTTGGCAGGGCAACTGTTCAAATACGAAAGATCATTGTGTGCAAGCTAGGATACTCTCATCCTTTTCCCTTCCTTTCTTTCAACATAGAAATTAAACAAGACTTGTAGGCCTTCTACAGGTGCAGAATAGGTTACAGAAGTTAACATAGGATATACCTCAGCCTTGATGATCAGGAATTCATTTCATGAGTAACAAGTCATCAAAATAACAGTATATGGATGACATTTTCAATGGAGATTCAGAATAGTGAAGTTACTTCATGGTTCATGCGATTGTCTGGGGAGTGAAGTAGATTGTGTTCAAAGAATGTTGATCAGGGGATTCAAACATTTTCTGAATATGATAATTTTTCCTTCCTTCCTTCTCTGTCTCCCTCTTCCTCATCCCATAAATTTTAATGTGTTTGGGTTTTTATCCAGCTATGCAGTTTCTATTTAGTCTGCTAGTGTTCATGTCTTCACCTATATAGTTAACCTGTCCTAGCTTCAAGTTGGAGGTGCTAATACACAGCATGTGTGAAAGGATAAAACAAACATAACGGATCTGTCAGTTCTTGACTGATGCAGCCTCTGCTTTTGAAATTCTCCTCTACCCTCCTGGGAAGGTTGAGACAATGTTTAAGAGGCAATCCCCTTTGTGATTTTGTTTGCACGTTTGCTGACTTATATCTGGATCTCAACATCTCCCTTCCATTCTTCCTTTAAAACTGCTTTGGAACCTGCTGGTGCTGCTTACCAGAAGCACCCAGTTGTAGGCTGATAATGTTATCCATGGATTTGACAGTGGGAAATCAGCCAGTAGCCTGTAAGGCTTTCCAATCTCAGCAAGATGACTTGGGAGATCAATTTAGAAAATGCAAAAAAAAACTTTTGTGAAAGTTCACCAATATGTAGAGATCATCTGAGTGTTAAGAGTGGGCAAACAGGAATGTGAGAGAAAGTCATAGTATGAGAAAAGGCCTTCAGCAGCATTTTATACAAACAAAGACAGACATTATTAAAAAGAAGGCAATGGGTCTTAGTTCCCGGAATGGCATGGAAAGCCTGCCTTGAACCCCCTTGTAGAAAGCAGAGAGTTAAGACTGTTGTTGTGTGTAATATTTCAAATCACGAAGTCATTAATGTAATTCATGCCAAGTTCTGTATTGGTATCTTTAACAGATGCCTAGTTTTATTTAATATTTTTAGGAGGAAGAACAGGTATACTGATGAAAGAAGAGGGCTGCCCCAGAACTCATGCATTCCTGTTGCAGAGAAAAGAAATTATTTCCTTTCAGAAGACTTGATCTATGCAGTAAAGCGGTCACGTTTTTATTTTGTCACTTGGTTTAAGTTTATATAACAGGGCTATGCTCATAAGGATGCAAGTTCCTGGCATTTTTCCAGTTATCAATATTGAAATATTAGTGATCAAGCATTTACTGAACGCCATTCCTCAAATGCAGGGTCTATACAGCATCTTGTTGCATTCATGGAATTCATTTGTTTGCATTATCTGGCTAACTGGTTCTTTTGTATTGCCAAGGTGATGAACAGACTTGACATTTAGCTGATTACTTCACCAAAATTAAACAGAAAACAGGGCAGCCATCCAAAGTTCCTTTCAGTGTGAAAGCTAATTATAAAAATGCTTTGAGCAGCAATTTCTTTTTGGATGTTAAAGTGCTTTTATTAGATTGTTCCCCTGTCATTTTAAAATTTATTGCTAGACACTTATAAACGGGGTTGCCTGCTGAAGTAGAATTATTTTATTTTATTTTCTATATTTAAGATGGGAGACAAAAGTGTATACAGCAAATTTTAGGCTGAATTTGTTAGTATTTTACATGATTCTGAATAGAAAGGAGAAAAACTAACTAGTGCTGGTTTTCATGGATCCAAAATATGTATTTTATCTTTATGCTGATTAAAAACATATATCCACTTCTATTTACTTCTATTTAATTCAGCAACTCCCAATTTCCAAAAACAATTACTTAGCAACTAAAAAAATCAAATATGTAATTTAAAAATTGAGTACAGCCCCTGTATTGTTAGAAGCTTGTATTTTATAGTGTAGATACAAACAATCAGTGGTGATGGAAAAATCTAGCCATGTGCTTGTTACCTGTCTTTCGTAAGTCATTACTTGTTCTGAAATAGCATAAAACTATTCTAAAGTCATTTTGTCGAGGTCACTGAATAAGAGTTAGCCAAGTGAATTTTAACCAGTAAATTTAGAGCTGAAGAGTGCTGTATGCTGTTACCAGATCTTAGAAGAAGTTTCTTGTGAAATATTTTTTGAATGCCTTGCAATATATTTAGCTTTTTATACTGACTGTTGTTATTAGCATTCTTCGGACCCCAGACAAGGTGTGATCTGGGGAGGTTTCAAGGTGGCAAAGTTGGGGGTTTTTGCATATGATATTGTCTAGCACACTTTGGCTACTAAATCATCTTGTGAGGACATATATTAATTCTTGACACCGAGATCTATTAATATACCTTGAAGCCAAGTGAATTATGTGATTCTGCTCTTTCAAGCTGTAGAATTCTGCCATAACTAGGAGGAAATATTTTGCTGTAGGTAGATTAATGTTGAAAGCTTGTCAAGAAAAAGTTTAACGTTGAAAATTTATTCTTCCTCTTCTTGCCAGTACTTGAGCTTCTATACTAAATCCCATTTGTAATCTGAGGAAAAATAGAGATATAATTTCTTTTGTATTTATCTATGTTATTAGAGTTCCAATGATATAGTCTATTGCCTATTAAAAAGTGCATCCCAATGAATGATCTTCCAGAGGGTAATTTTTGCTCCCATCAATCTGAGAGCTTTTCTTGTAAAACACAGTAACTGTCAGTGCTTATCAAATAATTTAATTCATGCCCATAGCAGGATAAGTAATTAAGATAACTCAACATTCTGTATCTATAAATAACAAAAACGCGAATAAGAGATTTGCTAAATACCCTTTATGGAGATAACAGATAGGACTTAACGTGCATGTTCTGAGGAAGCTTTGAATAGACAGAGAATGCAGTCTGAACAACAGACCTAAGAAAGAGTCTTAGTGAGTGTACAACACAAATGTGGGTTTGTTTTTGTTTGACTGTTAAAGTATGTTTCAGTGCTAAGCCTTCATAACTCCTCTTTGTATCTATAAAGTGTCCAAGCAACATATAAGGTAATTGACCCCACACTTTTTCAGAACTTTAAATAAATAAATAAATAAGGCCAATTTTTAAAACAGTTACTCAGTGAAATTTCTAAAAGCTCTGATCATTTGTAAACTGTCCCTATAGTTACATTTGTTTCATTTATATAAAGATTTTAATTAGTGAATTTATGTGGATTTGACATAAACATGTCCATAATTAATTACATAAATCTTCATGCTCTGTCCCCTCTAAGCACATCTACCTACCTGCTTGACAATGTGATGAATTATTCAGGGCTATGTTAAACAGAGTGAGAAACATAGTCCTCTTAATTTGAAAGTTCACAGATTACATCCTTGTCTACAGGGAACCTTCCTTTGCTGGGTTCGGCTGTTAAGAGATGATACTTTTCCGCAGTTTAAGCTATCCCATTGGCTATGCTCTGTTGCAGTCTTTCATTGTGTCAGTGGGTCTCCTATAATCCAGAGCAAGGTGTGCGTGTATGATGTATCTGCCTAAACTGTGTAAGGAATGAGCTTAGAACACTTCAGACACTCTAAAAGCACAAACCCTATGTACATTTTACTCATTTTTCTGTTTCTCTTCCAAGTAAGCAAGGGATATATGGACCTAGCTTTTATGTGATAGCTGTGCAAGCTCATCAGGTGCAGTTTGGCCAGGGTCTCTCCTTAGTAGTATTTTTGATTCTGCATTGTCTTTGTGACAAATTCAGAAATAAGTGGCAAAAAAATATGTCAGTGAGGAACTTACTGCACACTCAGGCTCGAGTCTCACAGTGGGACGCACTCAGACAAGAGCTTAAATGAGGCTGTGGCATAGCAGCAGTTAGCATTTGCTTATCAGAGCTTATTTTTGGATTTATGTTTAACTTGAGACGTCTGTCAGAAGAGACTTGTTTGTTTGTTTGACCAAAATCAATTAAGCAGAAACGTTAAAGGAGAAGGAAATGCAAGACTTTTTGCTGGTCAACAAACTTTTGAACTCATTTGTATTTGCTAAATTGAAACTTCTTATGTCATGAATGTGACCAAGTTTAAGTAATTTTTGAAAATAAACTGAGTAGTTTAGCCACAGCCAACAAAAGAGAACTGTAAACCCATCTTTGGTTGCAAAAGTATTTCCTGGAGTATTTCCAACCTATACCTATTGTTTTTCCATAGGTTGATGGGATACTGTGCCTGGCTGACATTCTTACTGATAACACCCATTCTGAAGCTACTCATGCAGAAGCAGCGGCGGTGATCGCACAAATCACATCTCCACATCTCACGTTCACTCAGCACCTCAGCAGCTTTCTGGAAAATATGGAAGAAATTGTAACAGCACTTGTCAGTAAGTTCGTTATGGGACTTCTGAGTCTTTCCAGTTAAAATGACAGGTTGGGGTAGGACTCTCTTTCATTAGAAATATTCCCTAAATAATGTTTGCCATTGTTTTCTTGAGAGATAAAAGAACTCAGTCATCTCTAATTCTGAATCAGGCCATCCTACAACTACATAATATTTTTTACTCCAGTCCATATTTGAATAGAATTTAAGCATATTTGCCAAATAATATGTGTGAAATTCTGCCATTAGAGCCACAGAAAAGACTCAGCAAAGTATCTTCTTGTCCCATGTTTGTCTGTAAAAGAGCAGTTTCTAATGGTTGCTAACCTTTATGCCTGTTGTATTTTCTAAACTTGCTACAACTCAAGCTCACCACTGCATCTACATTTGTATGATACTTCAGAGGAAAAGTACAATATAGTATAATCTATGGGCATTGTTACAAGAAAATAAAAGACCTGTCTTTCTTGTCTAGGCCTCTGACCCATGGTAAAATGAAAAGGTAACAGCAAGCTTTTCTTTAACCTGGGTCAGTGAGGACACTTCAGAAAAATAAGATGATATTTCTCATGACTTTCTAAAAAGAGGAATCTTCTAGTACTGTGCGACATCCCTCTCAAATACCAGAAGCTTTCAGTCAAGCATTCTCTTCCTCTCTCTGATCTAGAAATTTAGAATTTCCCAGAGCTTCATGTCAGAAAGTACAGTTTGAGTCATCCAGTTTGATTTCTCATGTATAATAGATCAATACGTCTAGATATTTCTCTATGGAGCCCAATGGTTACAGTTAAACTACAGCACTTCAATTTTCGTGCACGTTTTTGTTTTGTTTTGTGGTTTTTTGGGGTTTTTTGTTTTGTTTTGTTTTAAATAGAACAAGAAGAGGGTATAGTAGTGCCAGTGCTTGAGGATTCTGCAGTGGTTGGGAATTATCTGAGATCTATTTAGGCATTCTTCGATAAGCCCAAACAGAACTAGTGCTGCAGAAATCAAGGAAACAATTTATTCCTGATGACCAGACTGTCCAGCAACAAATATTAAAGGTTCTGCCCTGAACCTGCCCTGAATACAGTGGCTGGAATTAACCTGTGCGGAGCTTGGTTCTGCTGCAGCTAGACTGCTAGAGGCATCTGACCTGACTTATTTAAGATTATTTTCCAGGTTATTACAGTGTACCACAGTCAAGAGACAAGCTGAACAGCCTATCCAGGTGGAGCATTTCCCCGATTGTCACTGTTTAAGTTCCACAGGAATTTTAGTAGTATATACTCTGCCCAAGAAACGTGAGCATTAAAAATAGAACATGTATAACTTTGGAAGAGCCCTTTCAGTAATCACACACCAGTTTCCTTGTAATATTTATAACTCAGTAATTGAATTACTGTGATATCTTTAATTTTTAAACCATGCTGAAATCCAATTGCCAGGTGATTCAGATCTTAGTTAAAATACATGTGTGCAAGGATTAAAAGGGAGCTGTGTCTTCAGCACTTCTTCCTGAAGCTGGAAAATATGCAGGATGATCTTTGACTATAGAGAAATACCTTTAGAGATAGGCAACATGTATACGTATCTTGTTCTAAAGAATAGGTTATATAGCAGAATTATTCTCTTATGGATCAGTTACTGTTAGCCTTCTGCCTCCTGTATTTCATTTTATTTAGTTATATCAAGCTATTCCCTGTAGAATGGTATACTAGGTAGACCATCTCATTAATTAGATGAATGTTAGAAATGCTTGGTGTCTAGGTTCATATTTACCATCTTTCCCTGCTTTTGTGGTTCAAATGAAGGGGCCTAATGTTAATACCACTTAAAAGCACCCTAACAATGTGACATATTATATAATTGACAAAATTAAGATTATTTTGTTTTGTCTGTTTTTCATCTTGATGATTATGAACTTGGTCTTAGATACTGAGCTTACTAATGCTAGTTGCACATGCTTAAATATTGCTTTGAAACACCTAACCATGTTTTTTGCAATGAAGGAATGACTTTTATTCAACTTATTTTCTGCATTCCTAGAACTGTGCCAAGAAGCCTCATCTGGTGAAGTTTTCCTGCTGGCTTCAGCAGCTCTTGCCAATATTACTTTCTTTGATACCATGGCTTGTGAAATATTGCTCCAGTTAAATGCAATGAAGATTCTTCTAGCAGCATGTTCAGACAAATACATAGTAGATACTCCGTATTCCCGAGATCAGGTGAGCGGTTTCTCAGCAAGATGTTGTCTGAGCACATTTGTGTAAAAGTTCAACAGGTTTCAGCTCTATATCTGTTTTGACATAGTCAAATCTAAGTTGCTTTCATGTCTTCCATTCTTGGTTCTTTTCAATATATGACTCTTTCTTTATCTGCTTCTGTTCCTTTTTATTATGAGCATTATGAAATATGACGGCTTTTAATGTGATTTTGGGGGAAGAAAAAAAGTGAAGTTTCATATTTCTAAGATACTATAATTTTTTTTTTTTGTCATGAAGATGGCCGAACAGTGACACAGAGGCCCAGAGAGGCTGTGGAATCTCCATTTTTGGAGGTATTCAAAACTTGACTGGACAGAGCTTTGAGGCAAATAGGGTATATATGGAGGCTGTAGCCTAAATATACAATTGTCAGTTCAATTTAGCTCCAAAAGCTGAATAAGGATCTGATCCTCAGCCCATTGACGTCGGTAGGCTTTGGATCAAGCCCTAACTGCGTTGTAGATGGTTTGCAAGTTTTACTGGCAAATACCGCTGATGTACTTTTGCATTTCCCTTTCTTTTTCACCAGGTTTTTAATAAAGAGACACAGAAAATTAAAGGTTTGTGCTAATAAACAGATGAAGTCAGAGGAAATTCTTTTGTTCCTCTCAGGTACAGCGACGCAATGGGGCGCTGCAGAGGCACTGCTTATTTGGCGTCTTGGTGATGAATTTCGCCTCAGCAGAGTAACAAGTATGAGGCTTGAGGGTTTCAGTAGCTATTACTAAGGGCTGGGGGTTGCTAGTCAGCTCTGTTAACCTACTTCAGTTTATGAGACATTGTGAATATAACTAAAAGTCTGTAATTCAGGCCTCACAAGCCCATCCCCTTCTCACCTCTGAAGTAGCCAAAAGATGATTTATGGTAGACTTGGGATCTGCACTGCCACAGAAAACTCTGTGTACCGTTCAACAGGAGCCAGGCCATGGAAATCAAAGCACAAGGGACCTTAGAGACTGATTATTGGTGTTCTAGAGGGGTTAGTAGGGCTGCTTTAGCTTATATTAAGAGCACTCAGTAGTTTTCCAGCTCAGGAGTGTTTATGAAAAGATGGAGTTAAGCCATAATTACTATATTGCTCTTTGGGCAAAGTCAAGGACATCAACTGTGGTGTTTGACATGGCTGTGTACTGTTATTACATATGTACAATTCTTCATGTTCTTTTTTTATTTCTCCTGTACACTCTCATAGTTCTGATTTCCGTATTTATTTATGCCCTTATCTTAATGCTGCTGTCAGCTGTGAGTTTGAAGTTTGCTCTGTGGGTAGCATAGTGTCATGGTTTAACCCCAGCCAGCAATTAAGCACCACACAGCTGCTCGCTCACTCCCCACCCAGTGGGATGGGGGAGAGAATCAGAAGGGTAAAAGTGAGAAAACTCGTGGGTTGAGATAAAGACAGTTTAATAGGGAAAGCAAAAGCCGTGCGTGCAAGCAAAGCAAACCAAGAAATTCATTCACTACTTCCCATCGGCAGGCAGGTGTTCGGCCATCTGCAGGAAAGCAGGGCTCCATCATGCGTAACAGTTACTTGGGAAGAAAAACGCCATCACTCTGAACGTCCCCCCCTTCTTCTTCTTCCCCAGCTTTATATGCTGAGCATGACGTCATATGGTATGGAATATCCCGTTGGCCAGCTGGGCCAGCTGTCCTGGCTATGCTCCCTCCCAGCCTCTGAAGAGTCCTTGACTAGCAGGGTACTTAGCAACAACAAAAAACATCAGTGTGTTATCAACATTCTTCTCATACTAAATCCAAAACACAGCATTATACCAGCTACTGGAAAGAAAATTAACTCTATCCCAGCTGAAACCAGGACACATAGCAAGCCCCTTCTTTGTATGAGGAAGGCAGACATTTAAAGAAGTATGTATGACTTTGATAGGTAACAGACTAGTTCCAGGTGTTTTGCAGCTTGCAGGACATCTCATTATCTAGAGGAACAGAGAACTGAATGGCTTCCTTCCAAGAATTGAGATTTCATTCCCAATAACCCTTTCTTGGGGAATACATTCCTTCTTGGAATGAAAAACTAGATCAGAAAGGTGTGATGTTTTCTGTGGTGTGCTGCAGTAAGTTCCTGAGCTGACTTCTTGTCATTTCTGCAGCAATGAGGACTATGAAAGCCTGCCTCGTGTCATTACTAAGCACCTCCACCTATGCATGCTCAGGTGGAATCTGAGTGCTGCTCATCTTGTCTTTAAGAGCTGTCAGTGTTGCTAGTCAAGGAGTTTTGGTAATGTAACAGCCTTAAGAGAAATATTCCTTTGAATTCCTGAACAAGTGTGTGTTTGAGTAGATTGCTCACCTTTCAAAAGGGTACTTGTTTCAATGTTATATTGGGGGAGGGTGTCTGCCAATTATGACAGTTTTATGAAATATTTTGCTTTTTAATTTGCTCTGTGCCTCGTTATTGCAATGAGGAAAACACACTCAGCTAGAGAGAAAAACAACACTACAATACTATATATTATAAGGGTATTCTAAATTGCCATTTTGGCTTTTGATATATATACTTTAATTCCTTTTAGGTACATAATATAGTTACTAACTTTTCCCGTTTTATATATTATTATGTCTCAGCCAGTAGACATTTGCCTAAGGACACGCAGATTAAAGTTGAGTAGGTTTGGAATTTTTTTGATTCAAGGTTTTATTTTGGAATATGCAACCACTGTGGAATACATCTTTATGGACTAATGTCCATTCTGAATGATCAAGTCATCCTGGCCAGTGAAATAGTTGAATTAGAATTAAGCTATACTAAATGTTGAAACAATTAAACAAAGTAAGAATAAGATTCATAGCAAATACAACAAAATATGGTCTAATTATCACAAAATTTTATAAAAGAGCCCCTCAAACTTAAATGCCCCATTTTTCATACAAAGCTTTAATTTAAGTAACACAGTTATTCTATAGAAAACTACCCAGTATTTCTAAATACATTACTACTTTAGCATTACTGTTGATTTAAGAAAATTGTAATTTGCTAAAATAGACTGAAGCATGCTCACTGTAAGCCAAAAATGGGAGAAAGATGGGTGAAATGCAAGAAAGGAACAGTGAATTTTGTTTTCATTTGTGCTGTTTTATCTCATCTTAAAGTCACAGTATGTCCTCCTCTACAACCTTTCTAAGGACAGCTAGCACTGAGTAGTTATCACCTTCCACGATTGTATAAATAAATAACATTCTGTTCAGGAGTTGGATGTCGGATGCATTATGTGTTGCCTGCAGAAAGTATTTTTCTGCTCGAGCACCTCTAAAAGTGTTCTGTCTTTTGACTTCTGAAAAGCTTTTTCTGCAAATGGTAACAAACTTTTTCCTGCCTTCACTATCTGAAAACCAACTACCTTCCTCTTTTACTTCCCAGGCAGTGTTAGATTAGGTCAGGTAAAAAATCTAGAACTGAGTGCTGGTCTTAATGATGAACGAACAAGAAAATCATTGTCCATTTTATAGAAGCATGTATTGCTTCTGTAACCAGCAGTATTACATTGAGATTGCTTAGTTTTATAACAAAATACTTTGTATTAGAGTCGTCAGATAAAGCGGTAATTTCGAGGTGCCTTAGCCTCTAGTTTGGGGTCAAGATGGATATGAATGTGCCATGTTCTTTTTCTTGCTACAGATACTTATTTTCTGGATAGCAGTTTTTTTACTTCAAAGGAGCATCAAAATATCCTTTCAGAAGGGTTCATGCCTAAATTCAGCAGTGTAATGTATACAGTCAGATGTCTTAATGGAGTTTAAGCACTCTCAGAAAAGTTTAACCAAAACCCTTATCATTCAGAGCCTTCTTTACTTTAACCATCATCTTAGACGCTACATAGAAAAATATGAAATATGTATGTTTGTGCACAGTATGTTTATGTATAATAAAATTTTTGTCTCTGCATTCCCACTTGTCTCTTCAGTGTTGCTAGGATTCTCACCTTACCTGTGAAGTTGTGGAGGTACAGTCTAACAGCTTCTGATCTTCTGTTATTCAGGCAGACAAAGAATTAATGTGCAGTGAACACATCAATTTTAAAGTGGTTATTTCTAGGTCTAAAATCAGTGAATTATGTTTCAAAAAAATTTGAGGTGGAGAAAGGCTTTTAAGTTGGAAGGAGAAAATGGAAATGGTTGGTGCTTTTTTCCTGCTAAATTCTTTCCTGTTTTCTTGGTGTTTGGGAGATGCTGCAGGCTCTCCAGTGAAGAACTTCTGTCTCATTTAAGATTTGAAACCCTTAATACTATTCTTCATCTAGCTTCCAGATCCTTTTCTCTGCTTTTCCATTTTTTTCAGGGCATTTGCGTTTTCCTTTTGTTGCCTTTTCCCCCCTTTTTTCTTTTACGTGGGAGACTGTAGGGTCAAAAGGAGAGCAGAGACAGATGTTACTTTAACATAAAGAAGTTTTGATTTTTAAATGTTACCTAACACTCAGTGAAAGACTTTGAGAGCCGTGTTTTTAACGAGAAGAATATTAACAGGTTCTTTAGACTTTTGAAAATCCCTGCCTGGATGAAAGCAACTTGCAGTACTTCTTCTCAATCTGAGTTTCCTGAATACTGGGGAATTTATTACTCTTTGCTGACTGCTTTTTGCTTCTGCACGTTGTCATGAAGACTGTGAGATTCCTGACTCCATTTTGTTAAATTGCTGTCCAAATTTTCCCGTATGTGTGGAAGCCAGTATGGGCTAACAAGAACAGGGAGCCTGAAGTAGAGTTTGAGCAGTGCAGCCCATGTTAGGTGCCTGTCTTCCTTACATCCGACAAGAAGCATTATACAAAATCATTGCTGGTCAGGGGGAAGGCAGTTGATGAAGAGTCCTCATTTATGCTTTTTAAAGTTCTCTTCTTGGAGCAACGTAAGTATGGAAGGGGGAGCTCCCTCTCCGGGTTGGATCAGAAGAGGAATACCCCTTCCACTGCTGAGCCATCAGCTGGTCTTTCCCAGAGACTAAATCATAG